AGGAAGGAAGGAAGGAAGGAAGGAAGGAAGGAAGGAAGGAAGGAAGGAAGGAAGGTTGGTTGTTCTAAGTGAATGCAATGATGCTCATCCTTTGTGTAATTTTTGTAACTCTAAAACTGTATTTTCTTCAGTTCAAGAATTACTCATTCTAACCTTTTGCTCCAAGAAAGTGTGTGAAAAGACACTTGATACACATTTCACGTGTCATGCTACAGATTTCAGTGTTTCCTGTGATAGCTCTAAATCACTGTGCAGGAATTAAACTGACATAGACAACAGCAAGTGTACTACCCTGAACAAAAGTGAAAAGTAATTCTCAATCTTTCCCAAGTGCAGTCATCTAAGAACAGCAGAGGAAAACTTTACTTTTATGTAAATTTACTATGCTGCACCAGAGTACAGGAATCAAGCACTTCATCATGTTACTCTTAAGCAGGTTTCTTTTTCCCATTTTATAGTCACAATTTTCAAGAACAGAAAATTAATTAAGATGCAACACTTGGTCCTGTAGGATTGCTACAGTGTCACTACAAGTCAGCTTTGGATCTGGCATTTAAAATTTAGCTCAAAATGATGTATTTCTAAGGCTGTAAATAAACTCACAAGAGACTCCTCTTTGTATTTAAAAATAATGCTCCAAATTGATAGCTTGGACTACACTTGTGAGCAAATATGCGCATGTACACTCACACACAAATAAAGCATGGTACTATTAAGAAGCAGGTAGTTTTCCCCAGTATATTTGTAAAATCATGCCTATTAACTCAAAACTTTTCAGTCTTTCTCTCCTAAACATGTGAGAAGGGGAAAATAGGGAAGGTCAATAGTCTTATCTGTTTCTATTACAGAGGAATGAAAAAACAGTTGGGTTCTACTTTACAGAGTGATTTCAGAATCTACTTGTATGAAGGCCTGCAAACTGTTTAGTATATACAAATAATTTCTGGAAAATCAAAATATCATCCCTCATTCCTGAGGTGCTCAGGAAAAACTGGTGAGGTGTCAACAACATATTCATGTTAAATGTATTAAAAATAAGAACTTCTGTCTTCGACTTTATTAGGTAAACTATTTTGCATTAAAGGGTTTTCTCATGCGAGGTAAAAGAATTTAATATGAATGTAATCTGAAACTAAATAATTAACTCCAATCTGGTAAGCAAACATTCCACCCTCTTTTTTTTTTTGCTCTCCCTCTTTTTTTCTGCTAGCAAGCCACCCAGTTTTACTTTCGTGCCTCCTCCCATTCACTCCACCCAGTGGATATCTGCCAAGTCAGTCCAACTTGTCCAAACAGGACCTGGCTTTTGATAAGATTTTGCTCACACCCTGTACTTCAGAAAGACAAATGAAGCAACTGGGTTTTGTATGCAAATAGGGACAGGTGCAAGGTAAAGTCCAGGCAAAGTCCCTCTGTATTCCCCTATCTGAAGTCCAGTGAGGACAGCAAGCCAGAAACAACACAAATTCTGTCCTTGTGATCCAGTATACAGCAAGGCACCCGTTCCAGGAGGGAAGTTCATTATCATTAGAGCTCATCACCTTGTCAGGATTGAACACTTGTCAATATTAACTTCCTGACAGGTGTATGGTTTATTGTTTCAGAGACATAATTAAGATTAAATGAAAGCTGAAAGGTACTTAAACGTGTATTCTGACAATATGGATTATTTACCCTGGATGAAATGTGCAAAGTGGTTAAAGAATGCACTCAGACTTCACATCTACACCGCAGAGCAGCTGGAAAAGGGCAACTGCAGTGCAGCTACTCTCAGCAGCCCTGCACATCTACCTTCAAGGTCCACCAACTCTGCAGACCTGTTATGAAAGGAAAGGGTGGGGTGGAGGACCAGTTTTGACTGTGCACGTCCAACAACAAAGGTTTGTTCTAATATAAAGCCTGTGCTCTCATGAAATACCTGGAAGAGCAGCCCATGACTGACTTTTGCTGCAGACAGGGGGTGCAGACCATACACTCTGCCCCTCTTCATTCTGCCTGAGAACATATACCGGGTTATTTCCTCAATCTTTGTGCCCGGAGGAAACAAAGAAATGCTGCCCCATGCACAGCAAGTTTTTGTCTAGAAGCTTCAAGGTATGATTGTTATTGTCAGTATAATTACAGAATAATGTAATGGTATCTGCTAAATTAGCACTGCATGAGTGCCCTCTGCAAGGAACTGCAGCTCCTGCAGCACTGTTTGAATCCAGCAGCAAACATTATCACATTGCAAAAGCTCTTCAGTCCAAGCACTCTGGGATTCAGACGTGCTGCTCTGAACCTATGATTTCTGTGAACCTCAAGCCAAACTTCCTCTGATACAAGGGAGAAACAATAGTATCAGACGATTCTCCACTGAAGAAATCCAAAAGGGAAGGGAGGTTTTCTCAACCCAGTTGAAAAGCTGTCTTCAGTGGAACCTCCAAAGAGTTTGACAGAGAGGAACCAGTTTCTGAGACAAACATTCCCTGGAGAAGGTAAAAAAGCTGGTTTCCAGAGCTCATAAGGTATTTGCACTTTACTGTACCAGTTGCTCATCAAGACCTGAGTCAGCAAAAAAGTGTTTCTAAAGTTCCATTAACTTTAATGGGAAGTAAGCAAGTGCTTAACTGCACTTGACCCCAAAATAGCAGCAGACAAAGAAGCTCTCCAGCTCAGCCCAGCAGTCAGACTCAGCCAAAGCACCAAAGGTCCAGACGTGATGCTGTGGGAAGAGACCAGAGCAGCCAGACCATGAGGAACAGAGCAGAAGGAGAATCAGGAAGAACCAGCATGCCAAGGAAATGTTCTACTGATCAACAGCTTTCTGTGTTTATTTGCTGGATTTCCACTGGGTAACAATAATAACTGTTGAAAAAGTTAGAGTATTTTGTAAAAGAAAATGGTACCTAGGCAAAAATTTTCTCCTTGAAGTTTTATTGATAGGCATTAAGAAAAAGAGCATTTCTACAGAATTCTGGTATTGAGTATTTCAAACTCCGTTTGTTTCTTAGCAAAGACTTGAAAATCTTTCATCTTTCTCCTTTCAGAACTGCGAGCAGGCTGAAAAACTTGTAGTTTTGCACAATTTGTGCATCATAACTTTGTTGATGTCGCCTTTTTTGACCTAGAACTGCTTTGACATGTAGCTGACCAATCAGTACTTCAATTAAATTTCTGCTAATACTGTTGCAGGCTTTTGAAGCCATGTGTATGGAAATGGCATTCTTGTATGTAAAAGTCTCGGGAAAAAAAATGTTCTTGAAGTGCTTGTTAAGGAAATATCTTCTTTACCAAGGAAAAATTGAGCCATGTAAACCCTGTTCAACCTTCAGTTCTACACTCACTGAACCTAAGAGGAGACCCTCTTGAGGCACCTCCATTAGACAACATTCTCCCTTATCAGGGCAGACTGCTGTCTGGTTTCCTGTCTCAAGCTACTTCTTAGAAGGAGAAACAGTCTAGTAAGGATAAAAGATCAGACTTTTGAAAACAAATGAAGTATGTGGAATGGTATGATAATCTTTCCCTTCCAAACTGAGCTTCGCTTTTCTTGTTGTGTTTTTCCTAAGAGGTTAATTTTTAACATAATTTGAAAAGAGAAATATTAAACCTTTTAATTGTGAGGGGGAAATGACAGAAAATACTGTTCTCTTATGTGAAAGGTTCTGCTATTTCAGGAAATGTGAAAAAGAGATTCAACATTTTTATAGCATGGCAAAGAAAAGAATCCTAGAAAAAGGAAGTATACATTTAGGAATAACAGCCTAAATTACAGATTTGAACAAGAATCCAAATACAGGGCAAATGGTGATGAACTTCTATGAACCTATGGAAATAAAAAAAAAAACCCCGAAACAACCAGGAAAAAGAGCTGGACAGTGTAGTGAGTACAAATGTGACAGTGATCAAAGTAACTTAGACTCTTAAAAGAAAAAGTGGAAACTCTGTCATGTCTTCATGGATCAAGCTGGTTGGTTGGTTGGTAACACACACGGACTGCATGACAGACAGACTATGCGTTTGGTGGGAGGGTTTTTCCCTTCTGAGTTAGTTTGCTATTTAAAACCTGTTGGAGCTTTGTCTTTCCATTTGGCTGATCTACACTTACACTTTCTTCCCCTGGGAGATATCACCTACAGCTACAAAACCCTCAAAGGAAGCTTTGGCATCAAGTGACTGCTTCACAGGGAAGAGTTAAAGCTCTCCTAAACCCAGCTCTGCCAAACTTCATATTCTGGATTGGAAGCAACTAGCCTCGGAATGAAAACACAAAGATTGAACGCTGACAGCATAAAAGAACTCTAAAAGACCTCCTGTTAGCAGTGTTAATTAATATTTAAAAGTTGGTTTAGAAAAATTATTATAATTTTAACCTCAATTCCCCATTTTACAGAACTTCTGGCTACAAAAAGGTGTGAACCACAAAATTTACTGCATTTATTATACAGCAATTTCCAATATTAAACACAGTTAAATGCAACTCTTTTCCTCTGTCATTGGGGAAAAAAGATTAACTGTTTGAAATCTTGGTCAAATTAACAGTACAAGAATTAAAATATATAATTGTGTGCTAATGGGTAAACTCATCCATGGTGTTCTAAAACAAACAGAAATAACAACAAAATAAAAACAGCTGAGAGCAACACATTAAAATAATCAATAAACAACTTACCAAAACGGTGCAGCCAAATGCTTCTTTTTATCTGGATTTCTGAACAGACAAAAAACAGTTTGCTGTTAATTATGTGCACACAGTCCAATAATTTTTTTTTCACATACAATTAAGCTCTGAAAGAAGTTTAAAGTGTGTACTTAGATTCTTCCGAAAGATACCTTCAGTGATCTCAAACAGCTAACTTGTAGCATCCAGAAGAGCAAGAGCAGGAACTAAAAGACTACTTTAAAAATGACTGGAGGGGAAAAAAAAAGAGGAAAATGAAAGGGTGGAAGTAATTCTGTGTGTACAGTAACCATGCATATTTCAGGCCATAAGAAACACAGAAGAATAAATATCTTGCATTTTCATCCAGGGCACACTGAAGTTAATGCAAGTTTTTCTCTCTATTTCAGTGAGCTCTGGCCCTTTAGCTCTTCTGTCAAAGTAACAGAAAGATTTATGTTTTTCTCAATTTCCTCTCGATTTCTCACTATGTCTGCCTGCAACAGGGTGAGGGGGAAAGATAAATATAAAAACAGGAGTAAAACAATCACTTTAATGCCTTCAAAAATGTAAAATGTGGGACAGCAGTACTTATTAAAGTCAAAGAAAAGTTAGACAGCAGTGCCTCATTTTCTGTATTACATCTGGAAGACAATGAACCTTCTAGCCTGCATAAGGGGAAAATACTAACTTCTTTTGAGGTTTGGAAATACAAAGTGCTCATAGTGAGCCGTTCAGGTTGAGCAAGGACTGAAGTCAAAACCCTCGCATAACTACAAGCCTACAGAAGGGGTCTTCTCACATACACTCTTTATACATCAGTGCTACTCTGTGACTTTAATGGAGCTATTCCAGATCAGCTGATGAGCAAGTGAGAGCAGAAAACTGGCGCACAACTTTCTGGAGACCTGAGTTCAAGTTTTCAGCGAGCAGAGCTCAGAACTCCAGCTCACCCCCAGAAGCACGTTGGAGTGGAAGGGGCGTGTTAAAGGTTAACTTGGAACCCTCGTTATGACATAACACAGGCATCTTAAGCAATCCCGAGTGTGTAGAGACATGATAACTCATCGGGTGGGGATTGGGAGTTGAGGGGCAGTGACAAGGGGCCTGGGCAGGCTACCGAACTGCCAGAAAACAGCCTGAAACAGGAAAGAGCACCACATATGCCACTTGGAATGTGTGACGCAAACCCCAGCCTTGAAACAAAGAACAGGAAACAGCTCTGCTGGCTGCGCTGGGGAGAAAGCACAGAGAAACATTTAGGCGGCCCTCCCTGACCCTATATTCATGAGCAGCTGGAGTCTTTTAAAACAACAACAGTGGGTGGAGGTGTTTGTTCATTGGGTGTGAATAAAAACACTGTCCTGATGCAGAGGACCTGCCCTATTTACAAACAGGCTCTCTTAACATGAGGGAGCAGGAGATTTTAAGACACCACAGGTCAGGAGGATTTGCTGAAACCTTTGCTTAGACCAGGTGGTTTATTACTGTATTTATGCCAGTAGCTAAACAGAGCTCTGGCCTCATGACATCAGAGGCAGCACCCAGCCTGGCAGAAGCACCTTCTTCCCAGAGAGAGCTGGGGGATGAGAATTGCAGGAAGGATTTCTAAAGCTTGGGGCTGCTCCTGGACAGTGGCTCACTCACGCTCAATATTGCTCCATAGCTGAGCACCAACGTCGCTCACAGCACCCAAGAATATTTTTCTAAGCCATTACATGCTTAGCCTAACACATCCCTGTTTTCATTGCACTCAGACTTCACTTCAGAATCTGATTTCCCATGAATTTACTACTTTTATTTTTGAAGCACCCACATAAAAAGCTGAATAAGTGAAGCTGAAGCAAAGGAATAGCACAACTTATCTAGATTTCATGCAGTAGAATAACTTCAACACTTGTTTTCCTTCAAAGCTGTGGGTTCAAATACTCTTTCTTGTCTTAGATACCTTGCATCAGTTATTTATACACCATGGGTGGGACATCTAATATTATCAAATGTGAGAATGTTACAGCAAATTAGGGGGATGAGTACCACAGCAACACCAATGAATGCTGTAGGGTTCCAAGGCTGGAGTTTAATAATGAACACGGGGTAAAAACTGGCTAGTAGAGCACCTACACAGCAAGGTGTGAGTTTTATGCCGATATTATCAGTTCCTTACTTCTTCATACTGAATAAGTGCAAATACAGGTAATTTGGTGATTGTATAACATCTTTATTATCACTGAGTCTTCAACTCATCTCACTCACACATCTTTATTTATATGAAGGCTTCTCTTTTGGCTAAACAGATGGTGACTAGGTCAAATGTTCACAGTACCTAAGGGCTCCCTCGCAGCTCTGCAACTTGGAGGAAGTTTTTTGCTTGGATTCTTAGGACAGGGAAAGACCATTTAGCATTCTTGCCTGCCTCCACCCCTCGCCCTTACCCCTAGTCTCTCTTGTGATCTGTACCACAGCTATAACAGCATGTGCAGGAAAAAAAAACCCCAGAAACATCTGCCCTTGTGAAAAAAAGGCTACTCAAGTCAGCTTTGGGTTTTTTTATATTTCAATACTAGGTAGTAACAATAAATTCCTAAAAATACACGGTGAAAGCTGTGGAAAAAGCTAATTTGAAATAAGTGTCTTCTGGGTCAAGTGAGATTATCAAATCCAGATATAAGTCATCTCCCACAAGCACCAGCTGCTCATGTGATTATCACACCGGTATCTTAAAAGTATTTGATGGAAAGTAACTAGTCAGAAGACATGCAAGTGTTTCTTTTCAATACAGGTAATGTATATTTATGAATATTAGTTTAAATGAAGTCAAGTCTTCAGAGCTTTCCTATCAGCTACTCAAATTCAGCTTTTCCCAACAATTAAACCTTCAGAGTTCAGTTCCACAAACAGTGACACTTCCTGAATTCTCAAAGGCGAGGAAGTGAATAAAACAGTGGACCACGCATGTACAGTACCTGAAGCAAAAGGGAAGTGCACAGAACATCTTTAAGTATTTTTTAATGCAACTCCTGAATGACCACTTAAGCTATTCTGCACTAGGTCTTTCTCCTGAGCTCCAGACAGGTGCTGTGCTCTCCCAGCGCAGGCTCGCCTTGCTTAGCCTTCCTTTGCCAGGGCTCCCCTCGCTGTGCCAGGCACTCACCTGACAGCCGTCCGAGGCAAGTAACTCCTACTCCCATTTCGGTTAAAAAATTAAATAAACAAAAAAATTAAAAACCAACCAAACAAAAACCCTAAAAAAAAAAAAAAAAGAACACCAACAAAAGACATCTAGCAAAGGAAAGGTTATTTCTAACTCCACACTTCGCTGCCGTGCTGTCCCACGTTTTACCTTCGCCTGCATGGCGGCCAAGCGGTGCTAAGGTGACGTGACAACGCGAGGGGCAGGCTTCAGGAGCCGATTTCATCCTAGACTTCGCCAGGAGTTAAACGGGGGCCGTGGTGCCTGCCGATCCGCTCCGGGAGGAGCACGGCCCGGCGGCCAGCTCCTGCCCTGCCAACTACCGAGCGAGCCCGCTATACTTTCCACCTCGGCTTGGTCGGGCACTGTATCCCGCCCGGGATCCGACGGCACTTCAGTCTCTGCCCGAAGTCGCGCCCGTCCCGCCCCAGCGAGAGGCCAGGGGCCGCGGCCGCGCAGGGCGGGAGAGCGGCCCCGAGGGGCGGGCGGCCCGCGGGCCCTCCCGCCGGGGACAGGCGGGGGGAGGGCCGGGGACGGCGCCCCCCGAGCGGCCCCGCCGGCCACACAGGTGCGCTGCCCGCCGGGCGGACAGCGGCGGCCCTCGGCCCCCGGCTCCCGCCGGCCGCACAGCGAGAGTCCCGGGGAACCCCCGCGGCGAGCTCTGCTCCCCCTTCTCCGCAACCGCGGCCTCACGGAGACCCAGTTCCCGCCACCCCGGCGTGGCTGCGGCTCCCGCGGCATCACCTTGCCGCCTGGGGCTCCGCGCTGCTCGCAGCGCCGGGAAAACTTTCGTCCTCCGGCACCTCCATCCCGCAGTCAGCAGCACAGCCCGGCCCCCGCATTACCCCCGCCCTCACACTTACGCTCGGCAGGCGGTGCGGAGCGCGCCGCGATTTTCCGTCGGCTCCCGCAGCGCCGGGGGTCGCGGTGGGCAGCGGGGGCGCTCCGGTGGGACTGAGGCGCGAGGCCGGCGCGTCCCGCGTCCCCGCGGCTAAGGAGCCTCGGCGGTGTCTCCGGGTCTGTGTGCGAGGAGGAGCTGCCCGCTCCCGCCCTCCGCCCGCTCGCCTTCCCCCCGGGCTCCTGGCACCGGGCCGCGTTGTCACATGACGCCGGCGCCGCTCGCCCTGCCAGGCTCCCCGGGCCGGCGGGGTGAGTGGCGGTGGGAGGGTCACGGCAGGGAGCGCGGCCGGGCGGGTCCCGCCCGCGGGGTGGAGGCTCCGCCGAGGGGCCGGGGCGAGTCACCGCTCACAAACAGCCGGGCACGCACGGACTGCGCGCCCGCCCTGCCTCCCGGGGGCAGACAGCCTCGCTCAGACACTAATTATCCCCAGCAGCCCGGGGAGGAGAGGGGAGGGGAGCGGGGCCGCCCCACCGACAAACCTGCCGGTCCAGCTCCTCCTCCCCGCCCGTGTGTCAGGCAGAGGCGTGCACCTGGCAGCGGCCCTGCGGCAGGGCGCACCCCTCCCTGATCCCCTCCCTCCGCGTCCACCCCGGCCGACCTGCGGCGGCAGCAAAACAACAGCAACACCCAGCGCCCGGGGGGAAGGAAGGGAGGTGCTCACGCTGGGCCGCTGCCGCCGAGCTGGCTTCGCCGGCGGGGGCTGGGAAAGGGCGCGGAGCCGGGCGGCGGCTCCCGGCCCTGCCGCCGCGGGCTGCCCGCGCCGCGCCCCGGCGCGCCGGGGGAGGTGGCGGGGCCGGGCGGGGCGAGGGCTGGAGCGCGGCGGGCGTGGGGCAGAGGTGTCGGCCCGACTCCGCCTCGGCTTGGCGGCCGGCCCGCCGGGACCGCCGGCTGCTGAGGCCCGTGCCGGGGTGGATTTTATGGCTGCGCTCAGCCCGTCGTGCCTCGGGTGCTCTCCCCCCGGATCGAAAAGGGGCCGGCGGGGAGAGGCGCTGCCAGCTTGCCTCGACTCGACCCCCGTCGCCAGAGGCGGCGATCCTCTCCCTCCCCCACCCGTGCCGCCCCTGCCTGCCCAGCCTTGCGTCTGGCACCGGCCCGGGGCAGGTGTGTGTGCGTGACCCGGCCCGCCCCTGCTCCGGGCTCCGCTCGCCGCGGGAGGGGCCGCGCTGCCCCGGGGGCCGCTCCCGGCGCGGGATGCGGGATGCGGGTACGGCGGGGCGCGGGGTACGGCGGGGCGCCGGCTCTGCCCCGGGACTGCGCTTGCTGCTCGAGACAGCTTGCAGCGGAGCGCACTGCACCCGCCCTCTGTAAAATGCACTCACAGCCACAGAAGAAGACTGAGGGACTTCACTGGGAGCAGTACTTTTTAAAAAATGTGTCTTGGCTGGCTGTGTCGATTCCACTGGTTAAGGAAAAGTGCTTCCGCTTATTCACTGAAATATAGTGCGCTTACAACGATTGTAGTGTGCCATATGAAATCATGTTCTCTCCTCACTGATGTACCTAACCATGAGACCAAGGAAGAGGCAAATGCTGTGTTTGGCAAGGCCCTGTCCAGTGCTAATGGCATGGACAGATGAAAAGCCAGTTATACATCCTGTGCATAGACAGGTTACCCGGCAGGTCTTCATTTATGCTTTGTTTTGTGGGTAAAGTCACTGGAAGGGGCCGAGTATTTTCTGGCTCTGCAGAACCAGTCTATGTATATAACTGTCTTAATAGGACCCTAGTGTAACACACCTGTTTGTATGTTTGGGTTGAAATTTCTGTTCATTTTGAGTCTAATTGACCCAGTCGATAATGCTGTAAAAACAAAGCAAAGAAGGAAGGGGAAAGAATGGGGAAAGTATTTTCAAACACAAGGCTGTGCATGCATGTCTTTATTCCTAGGATGTTTTAATAAATCCCTTTACTTAGCTTGCTAGTCTGTATGGCTTTAAAAAAGCAAATTAAGACACCAATCTGAAGCCCTGAAGGGTATGACTCAGTGACATAACAATAAATTGTAGTATCTCCTGCTAAGTAATTACACCATATCATGTCACAACAAGGTATTGTTGAAATACTATCATGTAGCTCATAAAGTGTCATTTTTTTATTATAAGCCTATAAAATAAACAGAATGCTGTGTTACACACATGGGTGCAAAATATTCCATTAGGGCTGTGAAAAGGTGCTGGTGTAGTTTTCTTGCAGGAACATGCTCAAGATAAAGTAGATATGTCCCAGTTTGCATTCTTTTATTCTGGGAACTAGCAGAGGTTAAACAGCAACTGAAACCCTTAGGTCAGAGGCAGAGCTGTTCTGATGTCAAATTGTGAGAAATGCCAAAATATTTAGTAGTAGCCAGCATGCTGCTCCTGGTGAAGTCACTGGCTTTTCTTGCTATCATCTAGCTCTGGCCTCAGATGAACCTGTTTAATCTGCTGTAATTTTACTGTCTTCTTGTGGAGTGGCAGAGGAGAGGGAGGATTGAGAATGATGCTTTTGCACTGTCAAGACTCTATACCTTTCAGCATTTTGTTGCCTTCCTGTGGGTTTTTTTTGGTAAGTCCAAGTTCTGAAGGTAGCAGAATCTTACTGATTTTAGTGGGAATTGAAAATCCAGAAGGTAGCAGCTGAGAGCAGAGAGAGTCCTTGCCATCTGGTTAGCAGACCTGGCAGTTTTAACCATGCCTGGAAGTGTTTCTAGATCAAAGGATGCATTGATGGCAGCCCTTAACATCTTCCAGCCCAACACCTCTTCCATCTCTGCTCTACCCATTATCCCCACAGAATGACTTCTGTCTCAAAACAGAAGGAAGAGAAGTGCTGTGCAAGTCCTTGGTATTGAAAAAGAGAAAGAATGCTGCTTGGGTGTCCTTTGGTTTGTAGCACCTGCCATGAGCCCTTGCAACAAGATGGAGCATCTAACATGATGGGGCCTTGAGGACCCTTAATCCCAAGCATTAGGAAGAGTGTTGGCAACATGTTACAAGTTTCTGATGTAAGCAGACAAGAGGTGTTACCTGGAGCGTGTTGAGGGGAAGGTATGGAAATCTGGTGTGAACAAATCAGTATTAAAATGTTAAATGAATGGGTATAATATGTTCAGATGTCTGTTGAAAGACCATATCCAGCCATTTGTTGAAATGAACCCTTGCTACATTCAGCCAAATTGACTTTGTGATAAATGTGATGTTCTGTCATATTTCTGACAAATTCTACTTCCCAAAAATCAGTTAAAAAATAAAGGAAATACTTAAGAGTTCTGTGTACTTTTTCAGTCCTTAATTCAACTTCAGGTTATGAGGTGAATTGGAAGTAATTTGCTGGATCCAAGCAGTACAATTGTGAAGCTGGCATTTCTTCCAAGTTGTTCTGTGTTACAAAATGTGCTCTATATATAGTCAGTGAGTGATATTTATGCAGGGAAAATGTCCACTGCAACCAGTGGGTTTTTTCCTTAGTCTACAGATACATGTTTGAGGGATTTGGATATCTGTGTGTAAACTTACTGTGTTCTGCAGAGTTTCAGGTCAGAATAGTCACCTCATACATCTCACTGAACAACTGCTGGAAGGAATGAGGGACAGATCATCACCTAGCCAGCAATACTCATTACTTTTGTTAAACACAGTTCACATTTTTGAAGAACCATACATTTTATAGTTAAAATGCTATTAATTTATTGCACCCCAAATGTTTAATCTCCACAATATAGTGATGATACATGGTATAAGTCCAAGGTGTTAAAAATATAGTAGTTGAGGCAGTAAGAATTTGAATTGAAGCTTACATTACTTAAAAGCTTAGGTATGTTTATGCTGCAGTGATGTACATACCTGAGCTGGTTTAAAGTCAGCTGGGGAGCTGGTAGCAATCTGGCTGTGGCAGTGTGGACCCTGTAGCTATCTGGAAAACATGCCCAAAAAGCTGGGTAAATACTTGAGTGGTTAGGCTGGCCCGAACTCAATGGCCAGACTACTACCAGTGCCCTAGACAAGTAATTTAAAGCTTGCCTGGCAGTGTGTCTGCAGCACTGCAGTCACATCACTTGTGGCTGTAGCACAGACATTCCCTTCTGTGAATTCTGTGACTCAGCCTTGTCTTCTGGCAATGATTCCCAAGCTCTTCTGGGAGTCCTGTGGCCAGTATCAATTCTGTGGTCCATGGGAAAGGCCTTTGCAGGTATTAAAAAGCTCACAATGCAGCCTAAGATGCACCTTTACAGCATTGAAAGGTCCTGTGTTGTAACGGTGGGCTCTCGTGGCCACATGGCAGCTCTGAGTCAGTCAGTGTGTTTGCATAATTGGGTCCCTCTTGTTTGCTTGGAGGAAGGGCAAGGCGAGGTGAGTAGCCAGGCTTCCTGCCTCTGTCATACAGGTGTGGACAAGAGGAAACCACTGGAGGAGCTTGGGCAGAGCTGCTGTTGAGGTGCACGGGGCCTAGGGCAGAGGCTGCTGTGGGCACCCCTCCCTGCCTCTCTTCTGCCCACACAGGGATGACTGAGTCCTGCTGCCTGACCTGGCCCGGGTTCCTCCTCCTGCCTGTCCCTTCCTGTGGCCCATGGACCAACACAATTACTGTAGTTCCTCACCCTTGAAATGACTTTACATTTTGTGCAGAAACAAATTTCAAACACCACAACACAAGGTTCTTCTGTTCACGCCGCCTCACGCAAGGAAAGGATGGATGGCTGCTCTTTCTAGTTAAAAGCAACAAGTCACACATTACTGCTTTTAACAAAAATCAGCTCTCTGAGGGCCAGCCCTCAAGCCCACTGCAGCAATCAGAATTACAAGAGTCAACGTGTGGGGACTGGTGGGGGGGGGTGTTGAATTTCTTGTCATATGTTGAAGTTTTTAAGAACAGGCAGGATTTTTTTTTTTTTGCAGGTGTAATGACTACTGAAGGCTGCTAAGCTTGAATTTCATTATTTGAATTGTAGAATGATGGTTGAATTTAGTAGTGATGCCCAAGATGTTGTCAAGGGACACTTGAAGTTTCCATAGTTGGAAGAATAACAATTTTGGAAGGAAGGGCAGAAATGTATGTGTGAAGATTGATGGGTTTGAGACCAAATCTTCAACAAATATATGCTGATGTGAACTCAAGACGATGTGTGGATGATGTTATAATTGAGAATGACCTTGTGTAGGTGCCCTGTCCCTTAATACTGTTCTTGAGCTTTATTTCTATAATTATGTTTTCTTCAGTACTGGGGCTGGAATTTCTCTCCAGAATGTACAACAGAAAACAGAAAGATGACATGGTTCTCTCATGCAAAAATATATGCAGTCAGTGGTTTTGTTATAAAAGGTCTATTGCTTTCAGTCTATATTCACTGTTCCAACAGAAAGCAATGGAAAACACATGGATAAAAAGTGAGTTATTCTGTTGACTTTTACTGTATAAGGATTTGTTCTGTGCTCTGAAAGCCTGGAAATGATGGTGTGTTGGGTTTGCATGGCCAGGTTTTAGTAGCAGGGGGTTAAAGCTGTGGCTTCTGTGAGAAGCTGCCAGAAGCTTCCCCTGTGTCAGGCAGAGCCAATGCCAGATGGCTCCAGGACAGCCGTGCTGCTGGCCAAGCCTGGGCCAGTTAGAAATGGTGGCAGTGACTCTGTGATAACATATCTAAGGAGGAAGAAAGAAAGTTATTGTGCAGATGTAAGTGTGGCCAGAGAAGAGTGGA